CTGTGATAACACACACAAAGCACTGGGAAATCTCAACAATATCTATCTAATGTAGGTGAAAAACTTGAAGACTTAAAAAATATATATATTCAATTAGTATGTTATGGACCCCAAGTGCTTTAGCCATAACACCTCAAGTCAAACTACCATTCATCTCACACAGCAGTTATCAGTAAGTTAGTAACACACCTTCAGTATCTATAAATGTCATAGCTAACAATTATACCATCAGTAAATCAAACTTATTAAATAGTACAGTAAATAAATAAAATTGAATTAACCTTTTTTGTATTAATCTTGCAAGTTTTCACCTGCATTTCACTGACACTGATTAAGTGAGATCACTCCAATATTTTTCTTGGATGCCATTACCACAATTATCTGTCTTTGGAAAAAATACTATTTGCAATGTGATGATGTAATACCATCACATTTCACCCTTTCAGAAGTTAGCCTATTCAAGCAACTAATATAAAAATTGGTACAAAATGGCTTGGAATGGTTCACTGCACAAAGTATGTTGCTAAAATGTTTGAAAAAATAATAATTTTGACAGAGCACTATCATTGAAAATGCAAGCAGATGTGGTAATTCATTTTTATGATACATATTTTGACCTTGGGTTTGAGCCCAAAACCTCTTTCAGACCAGGCAAGTGCTACATTGACTAGGCTGAAGGGTTAACCCACTAGCACTTGCTAGCAAGTTACTTTTTAACAACTCAAATTACTATATTCTTCCCTTCTCACAAACAATGCCAAATTTTGGGTCACAGGACAGCCATTAGTTAGGTGCTGATGGGTTAATTTTATCTCATAAGATATATTCCCTCTCTTAAGATTTGAACCTGACGTGTCTCACAGGCCAGGTGAGTGCTCTACCAACTTAGCTAAACTCACACTAAGACTACACAGATAATGATTTTTTAATTAACCCATAATCTGAAATGAAATTTTAAATAAGTTGTAAAAACTGACCCACTAATTTAAATTTCCAAAAAAAAAACACCTTCATGTATACATACTGTAATAAACCAAACACACAGGAAATCAAAACAGTGTAATAAATATTTTAACATCATTCTTTAGTTTCAATTTACATTTACAATGCTCAAATAATTGATTTAAAAAGGTAAAAATATATCTACTA